AATACAACAAATGATCTCTTCTTCCCATATCCCATCTCTTATTTATAAACAAATCCATAAAAATCTCACCATTTCAGAAAAAGAATAGATGCAGTTACCAGGAGTTGAGCTTGGTTCAATGTTGTCTTTATCATTTTAATTAATTGAAATATCAGAAAAATGAATGCCTTTCAATGGTTGTTTGGGTTGATGAATAAGAAACTAAACAAAATTTCACTGCAGTTCAATAAATGTTATTTGAACCATTTGGGCTTTCAAAAAAAAAAAAAGCCATTTATTTATTTATTTATTTATTTGTTCATTCATTCAATCCATCAATTATAAGACCGCCCACCCAACATGCGACTCTGAGCAGCTAACATCATAATATGAAGAAAATAATGATTTATTGGGTTTATTAAGGCCTCCCAACTCCAAGAAGATTCTTGGAGTTGGGCATTCAAATAACTATTACTTCAATCTGAATTTCACAAACATTTTTGGATTTGCACATCGTTAGCCAAAAAAACTTCTTTTCCTGAGAAGAATGAATGTCCAAAATCCTAATTCATAATACCTTTCCAAAAAGGATTGTTATTTTTCCCCTTTAATTTATTTTCCCAGCTCAACAAGTCTTTCTTATATGCTAATCTTCTTTCCCTGAGGAATCTTTCAAATTACGTATTAACGTTGTGGCTTCATTGCATATTAATAAAAGACGGCTTTGTATCCTCTCTTCTTTCCCCACCCAGGACAAAACAACACTGGAGAACCTGACTCAACAGTTGGCAGTCAAGCAGAATGAAGACGGGAAATTTAGCCACGCGATGATAGATTTCAACATGAGCGGAGACTCTGATGGTCAGTAGCCCAGCATTTTGCCTTATTTCCAGCCGCGCCTGGGCACACACTATCAGTGAAGAAAGAGCCTTGAGATCTTTGGTCCTTAAGCATGGAAAGAAACATTAACTCAGCAAAGGTGGGGGTGGGATGCTTTAGATCTGTAATTTTTTTTCTTACTTCCTGCAGAGTCCTTGGCTGAGTCTGAACCCGGGTAAAAGACATGTTTGGCACTGTAAAATGGAGAAGAAAGAAACAAACATAAATAGACTAGGATAACTGAAGTCAGATGGAGAACCAATTAGAAGAGCACTTCAGGATTCTAGGACTTTCTCTGGCTTTTTCAGGAAGCCCACTAGACTCCCAGCAGATGGCCTTCAGAGGCAGTCCCACAGCCGTCAAGGCTAATAACTATTGATCCCCAGGACTTCCATGAATGGGTCCAACACTTTTTTGAAGCCAGCCAAGCTGGTTGCTAGTGCCGCATCTCATGGTAGCAAATTCCAAAGTTTGATAACAGAATAAATCATTCTGAAGATGCTTTAAAAAGTCCAGGTGGAATGGATCTTCCCTGTGATGTCAATGAAGGGAGGATGAATAGAACGAAACAATATTTTCTCCCTTTCTATCCAACTTTTTAGGAAGCGCAGGGGTCTCAGAATCTCGGATTTACCGAGAGTCCAGAGGGCGTGGGAGCAACGAGCCTCATATCAAGCGTCCAATGAATGCCTTCATGGTGTGGGCAAAAGACGAACGACGGAAGATCCTACAGGCTTTCCCTGATATGCACAACTCCAACATCAGCAAAATATTGGGTAAGGGAAGGAAACAGGATTGCCAAATGGGTAGTTCTCAATGTATTTTTTTTTCTCAGAGCATGCATTTCTCAATGTATTTGCTTATTAAAAACATTTTCAATACAGTAGAGTACAAAGTTGAGGAAGTGTTGAGCAAGGCAAAATTCAAGGAAATCCAAACTCTGCCCTGACACATGAGGTCTCAGCAGTGATGAGCAGAAGAAGATATGGTGGGGACTAGCTGTGGTCTGCTTGCAGGGAACGCACACGCTCTTTGGAGAACGGTGGGCACAGCCTTCTCACAAGGTTTCAGAAGGCCTCAGAAGCTTTCTGAAGCATTGCGAGAATGGCGCATGCTATTTGGAGAACAGTGTGAGTGTTCTTGGGAAGAAGGTCTGGCATGGCCAGCAGCTGCCTCACATAGGGCCAGGTTGGGCACACCTTGTCAGCAGTGGGAGGAAGATGGAAAGGTCAGCTGGGCATGGCAGGCCTGAAGAGTACAAGGTGGTGAGGGCAGCTGGTGTTTTGCATTGTGGCACTGGGGCTGTGGCCATGGCACAGGGTTGAGGTGGCACTCCTTGGTGGTGGCAGCCCTGGCCTCTACTCCAATCCCAGCACCACCCCTGCTGCCACTGAGGAGTGCTGCTGTGCAGGGCAGCCAAAAGGGCAGAGATGGGGGGGGGGGAATAGGCAGGTGGAGGGAGTTGAATCACTCCTGCAGTCATAAGCATGGGTAGGCTGCCATGCACCTGAATTTTGATCACATGACAGCAGGGGTGCTGCAATGGCCATAACTTCAGGGCCCAGGCATAAGTACTATTCATTCAGCGCTGCTGCAACTTTGAATGGTTGCTGAACAAATGGTTGTTAAGCAAGGACCACCTGTACTGAAGTTTGCTTGGATTTGATGTTCTAAGTGTCCTCTTCTTACTCATGGTCCCATGTAACTTTTATACTGCTTATTGTTAATCCTGGTTGTGTGCCACCTTGAGACTGAATTTGGGACATTATTCCTGAGGAGGAGGAGGAGGAGGAGGAGGAGGAGGAGGAGGAGGAGATGATGATGATGATGATGATGATGATGATGATGATGATGATGATGATGATGATGATGGGACAACTCTGTGTAGAGTTCTTCATATCAGGCATGGTCCTCTAGAATGCCATCATGAGAGCATAAAGAGATGATGGTGGATCAGACGCAAGGTGAATTTCAACCAGCCACAATCAGACGCATATGAGAAGCTGTGAAATAAAGGAAGAATGCAATTCATCTCTCCTATAATTGCTTTGTAGTTCTCATTCACTGGCCTTGAAGTACAAAGTTTCTGTATCCCTCAAGATATGCCTATTCCTCCTCATAACTGGTGGCTTTTTATAAATCTTAAACTCCCTGAATAATTATTTTCAAAGAGTTTTGTTTTCTTTTAATCTTTGCATTCCAATACATAATCCCAAATTCTCTCCAAATATTATGTCAATATCTCCTACTGTATGTGAAATCCAGCCATTGAAGTAACGCTTTTAAGAGCAGGATTAACCGTAGCTATTGATTTCATGCCAAACAGATTCACAGAATCCCACATTCGAGCTTTCGGTTATAGATGGCAGGTCGGACAGTTTTAACAGGGTGCCTGAATTGATTAGATTAGTCAGACGAAAATGAGATAAGGAGACTACATTTGTTTCAGGGATGATAAAATTTATATATGCCAACTGAAAGGATTTAAAACTGGTTGTGGCCACAAGATTAGGCCTGTGATTCAAGAGGCAAACAGTTTGGTCCACTTTGGATTTAAGAGTGCTCTTGATTAAACTTGCCTTTAAGTAATCATTTTCAGAAATTGGTCTGAGTAGAGTGAACACCCCCTCCCTCCCATTCCCCCACTTTTTATACAGAAAGTACAAAGGGATCTCAATGTTTCCCCAATCTGAACTGATTGTTTTAGATAACAACCTCCAAGTGCTTGCTGCTAATTCATTCTGCTTAAAATAGGCATTTGAACTGGACTGACATTTTACTCAGTCTCTGGAGGATCTGTGTTGACATTTTAAAGGGCTTCTAAGCATTTTATAATACCCTCCAAATCTGGTTTTAATAAGCCATTTCAGCTGAAATTTTTAACATAAGGAATCATCTTTTACTGTTTCGCCCTGGACATGGGCTGGTGAATGGGGGAAAGAATGCAACTAGAACATCAGAGGCATCTTTTTCTGATTAAATATACAGTAGGTGGACTATAATGTGCAAATTCATTCCAGATTCTAGCAGGGTTGACAGCCCTAGTCAGCCATCAGATTCCTCGTGCTGCAAGAATGATGAGGCTTGCAAGCATGGAAGTGAGAATTTTTTTTTTATTTGAACATTACAGGTAGTTCTTGACTTATGACTATAGTTGGGACCAGAACTTCCATCACTAAGTGATGTGTTAATTAAGTGAGTCGTGCCCAATTTTATGACCTTTTTTGCCACGGTCGTTAAGCGAATCTGGCTTCTCCCATTGACTTTGCTAGTTGGAAGCCGGCTGGGAAGGTCACAAATGGCAATCATGTGACCCCAGGACGCTGCAACCATTGTAAATACATGCTGGTTGCCAAGCGCCCAGAATTTTGAACATGTGACCATGGGGATGCTGTGATGGTTGCAAGTGCGAGGACTGGTCATAAGTCACTTTTTCAGTGCTGTCGTAACTTTGAATGGTTGCTAAATGAATGGTCATAAGTCGAGGACTACATGTAGTGAAGAAAAGGAAGGATTCCTGGCTTTTCTGCAAGGAAGAGGAGTGAGATACATGGATTGCAGAAGACTTTTCTGATCTGTCAAAAGCCAGTTGTTGTTGTTTTAACTCAGAAGGGAAAAGCTGATAACTAAGGAAGTCGAATGAGAAACTCACAGATATTGAGTCTTTTTGCAAGAAAGATATACCTGTTCTAACTCACCATTCTCAACTTTCTCTTTCTTCCTTTCTTCTTGGCACACATCAAATGTCTGAAGCGTCATTGTGTGTTTTTCTGATGAAGCACCACTCTACCAAACTCTATATATGTTTGTGTGTAAATCTGTGATTTGGATACTATAAAAAACAAAAAGTATTCCTTTTCTGGAATCACTTTTCTGTAGGGATTCAGCTTTGAAAACTGATGTTCTGCTCTGAACACTGGGGAGCAGGGAAATGTACCAAGATAAGCACAAGTGACCATAGGCACAACTATATATTTGTGATTTACCGATAGAAAAGAGTGGTGTTTGCGTCCTGACACCACAACGCCCATTTTGACATCATCGTAGCTAGCTGCAGATGTCTGTGAGCACAAAGTCCTATGCCATACAGTGTTGTCCATCCACCCCCTGCTACATAAAGATGCGTGTCAGAATCCATTTTCCCTAACACAAGAAGACCAACTTGAGAAAAGAAAACTTGCCACTTTTAAAAAAATTCCAGAGCCACTCATAGTTTTGACAGACTTTTTGCAGTGATTAAAAAAATGGATTTTCCATGTTCCAAGGCTTTTGCTGGAGAGAAAAGGGAGGCACTTGGGGGCAAGGGGGCTTTGATGGCCGCAGAGAGTAAATCTGTAGATCTCCATAGGAAACACTGGTCTTCCTTTTGGCAGAACTTGGGATCTGTGATAACTTGTACCTCTTCTACATTTCTCTTCATTATGCCTCCTAATACTGTAGCTCATCTACAGTATGTGATGGCCTAAAGAGTAACTAAAAAAAAATATTTTTTTTTAAGGGTATTAAGAAAACATTTAAACCAAAGTTTGACAAAAACATAGATAGCAAAATCAACAGGAGCTGAGAGATCCTGGATTCCTCAAGTCTAAGGGGCAGTGCTTACCTTCCTTGGCATGTACTAGGCTCCTTATGACACCCTGGTTTGACTTTTGTTTTTTGGTTACATTATTTTATTTGTAAAAAAAGAAAAGTAAAGAAAATGGAAGCCTGGTGTGCTGCAAAGTGAAATACAGGAATCCTTCTTTCTTACAAGAATTCCTCTGGGCCCCAAAGGTATTCTTAGAAAATAAAAATATGCTGAGACCACTGCAAGGAATTAAGTGGTTAAAGCTCCTTTCTAGATTTTAGTTCACAAAGTGTCATTAGACTTTAAAGTTACGTCTTTACAGTGAAATATTGTTTTTATGGAGCTATTGGGGAAGTAGTCTCTGTTCAAGCCAACTGTCCAATAAAGCTGAATTCACATAATGTAAAATTTAAAATTTATATATATCATATACATTTTACATAGTGTGCATAATGTATGTAGAATTTAAGTAATGTATGTCGTATTGTCTGGACTGATTTGCTAAATAGCAATCCAGATTCACATTCTGTCTGTTGCACTGCAAGTCTGCTAAACTGGAGCCTATAAAATCAAGGGATTAGTTACTGAGAATCAAACTACACATTAAAATTGTGTCACAGAACAGGTTTAACCTGGTTATTGAATGACTCATTTTATTTATGTATTTAGTTATTTTACAACATTTGTAAACTGCCCCAATTCTACCAGTTCTGGGCAGTATAAAACAACACAACAATCAATCCTACTATGCTAAGTCACAAAGAAATGTAACAAGATTGAAACTAACCAAACTTTATACGTTGTGTGAGCCTAGAAGTGACATGCAAATGACCCAATCTTTTTGTTTAACGCATTGCTGGGACCGCCATGTGTAGAACGTCAGATTTAAACCACCTCCCTTCGCAGTATTAAAATTTGTCCCCCCCATAGTATGCTCGGATACTATGACATTTTGACATTTTGAAACGAAGAAAAACACCTCCGTTGGTGCCAATGGGACACTCATCGTAAAATTTAATCCCTGGAATTCACACAGGTAGCAGAGGGATGGGAGGACTGTTCCTGTCCACAGTCAAAACAAGGAGTGTTAGTTGCCCACTGCATATTTTAGCAAAGCATGTGGTTTGTCCCTCTGTATCTGTGGGGATACATTGCACTCTGTGGGGAAGGTCCTTAAGAGAGATGGATGTATTGCTGTGGGAACTGGCTGTGGATAGGATAGAATAGGATAGAATAGGATAGGAAGTTGCTTGGGTATATCTTTAATAGAGTGAGGTGAAGAAGGAATATATTGTAAAAGGGAAAAAAAGACCTTAAATTTAAAGCAATTTGGAGGATCAAATGGCCTCTGTATAGTATAGCATGAAAGAAATACAGTGCAGGCGAAGGACAATGCTGTCTCTGAAGTCCTAATTTCATCAGCCCCCACAAATTCCCTGTGACATTTTCCTGACTGGAACATGGGAAGAGTTTCCATCCAATGTTTGTTTCCACAGCCAGACTTGTCTCAGTTTCCCTAAAGACACTGAGCACAAGCATGACTAAGTAATATCCCCTTGGATCATTTTTTTCCCCCTTCCCTCTCTCAGTCTCCCAACCCAGATTTATGACCATCAAGAGTGGGGGTTTTTTCCCCTTCTTTCCATTTTTAAGAGACAAAACCCCATCCTGTTCCACTAGGCAAAGGAAACTGGCCAACAAATGAATATTGTTCCTGCAAGTGTAATGTTTTTCTTTCTTCAAATATTAGCACAGCCCTGCCTTGGTCTGGTTTGCTCATTCAATGAAAAAAGTGTTTTCCCTAATTTTACTCACTTGGGTCATTCATTTTCAGGAACCACTGCAACGTATTTGTTCATGGAGCATGCATATACATGTCTGTATACACCTTGATACATCTAGAGCAGTGTTTCTCAACCTTGGGAACTTTAAGATGTGTGGACGTCACCTCCCAGAATTCCCCAGCCAGCCATGTGTGGACGTCAACTCCCAGAATTCCCCAGCCAGCCATGTGTGGACGTCAACTCCCAGAATTCCCCAACCAGCCATCGGTTGGGCGTCACAAAGCGCA